CACACACACACACACACACACACACATATATATGTATATATATATATATATTTATGATTCATATGCATTTGTAAGAACTTTATGAATTTGCGTTCTATCCGTTATGCGTGGAGATTATATACCATTTATATAATAGGTAAATTCACTTGGCGTAGTGTTAGACGTTTTACTTTCACTGCAGATATTCCTGTATACTAGTCGTCTGGCCCATACTGCTTGCACCCACTCCTCGACTTCGGACATAGTCATTGGGTTGCAGATGAGTCCTATACTAATCTTAATCAAAACATACTGAAGCAAAACTGCACTCATGGTCCGACTTAATTGATGCACAAGCAGCAGAGACCACAGGACCACCACTCAGCATTCATGTGAGGGCGTTCCAGATGAGAAGGTAATATTGCCAAATTAATGTGTCATTCGTGATAAATCAGTGGGTGATTAGAGGGCAATTAGTGTGCAATTAGTGGGCAATTGATATGGGTTCCAATATAAGGATGTGTGACGACGCAAACGATGCAAATATGCACATGTCTGCTTGCAAAGACACTGCGATATTACATACTATTGCAGACGCTTTCATATTAGGCCCAAAGGCAGTGTTTCATCGGTCAAAGCTCATCATATATATCTACATAGTTGCGTATATGCCCACATACACGTATATATACATAGACTATACTCAACCATACATGTGCATCTATGACAGTATACACGCTAACAACAATGCTTCCATCATGGTACATAGCAGGTGCATTTCTGCCAGGCTTGCAAGCTGTGTTTGTTTATGGTAAGTAGTCTTACGCGTACACAAATACAAAAACATGCATACACATACACATACACATACACAGACACATATATATGTGATCCTTCCCCATGGCATGTTTGAGATGGTTGTATGCCAGGCGCATACAAGCTACACACACACGCACACACAATGATACACTTAGGTCTTAGAGATACATGCACTTACAGGCTATCTCTAGTCAACATTCTGGGTATGTTTCAAACATTTTTTTGTCCGACACACCGATACACGTGGGCACATTCATGCACTAATACCTTCATCACACGACACTTCATCACATAACACTCCGTGATATGTCACTTTAGACGGTTCTCTGTCCGGCTTGTAAGCTGTGTCTCGTGGTACCCACTGGCGTCACTTCGGCACAAGCGGTATGTGGTGTTTGAACGTTCGCAGACTTACAGCTCTCATTTGCAAATTGTTGTTATATCATTATCTCAAGTTACGTATGTAACACTGTGCTTAAAGTCATCTAAATCTTTATTATATATATATATATTTACACACACACACACACACAC